GAAAATTTAACTAGACACAGCACTCGGTTCAGAAAGCTGATGAAGATCGAGTGATTCAGTCGAAAATTCCTGGTGAGCTACTTTTCTTGAGTTGGAGAACACTAATTTTCATTATGTATTTTATCAATTAAGATGAACTTACATGTACGTGCTAATGTGATTATGGTGTTTGTGGTGTGACTAAGGTGCTTGAAGACCTCTTTAAATACTGATGCCAAATTTCAGACAAATCCATTAAAAGGACACAGACCAAGAAAAAAAACAAATGGTTCAAAGTATGCAAGTCTCGTATAAGCAAAATAGGTTATTGTACCATCTGCTCAGGAATTATGTTCATGAGGCCATGCAGACCACAGTAATACCTGGTAGTAATGTTTCAGTTTCATCTTAAACAGTCAACAAATGTAATTTAAACAAAATTGTTTAGTAAAGAACCTGCTTATTCAGTCTCTTGCCAACCCATTGAAACTAATCACAGAAGTTTTCCTTGTGTTGTGAAACTGTGATGTGAGACCTGATGTTGTGTTGTTTGGTTGTGTCCCTTGCAGAGAGTGTGCAGGAGAGTTTGGAGAGGAAGTTTGGGAAGATGGGCGGACGCATCCCGGTCACCCCGTCAGCTGACTTCCAGAACAGGATTGCTGTACGTTCCCCCTTCTGCTTTTTTAATGTTTTTTGCTAAATCTTTGAAAGGGTGGCGTCGAATGGCCAAGTGGTTATAGAGGACACGAGACTGAGAGGTCACGGGTTCGTTTCCTGGCAACATGGTTGTGTCCTTTTGAAAGGCACATAAAACGATACTCCTTGAAAGAATCCTCTAGTAACTGATATTCCTCAGGGTACTGGACTTTGGTTTGGGAGTTACATTGTACAAGATGGTGGAAGGAGAAGGTTGGGCTCTGCCTTCTAATATACTGCCCTACACATAGTGGATTAACAACATACTGCCCCTATGTCCTGAAAAGGCAATGCGACTACTTTTTTATATCTTGGAAGGAGAGCTACAGGAGTAGCATTAAAGATTACAATAAGTTAAGGATATTCTGAACATTCTAAACTTGCTGCTATACATTCCCTACAAAATGGGTTCTTGGTTTCATGTAATATTCAATTCTTGACTTTTTGAAGATATTCTGAACATTTCAAACTTGCTGCTATACATTCCCTACAGAATAGATTGTTGGTTTCATGTAATGTTCAATTCTTGACTTTTTTGAAGATATTCTGAACATTTCAAACTTGCTGCTATACATTCCCTACAGAACAGGTTGTTGGTTCCATGTAATGTTCAATTGTTGACTTTTTTGAAGATATTCGGAACATTTCAAACTTGCTGCTATACATTCCCTACAGAATAGATTGTTGGTTTCATGTAATGTTCAATTGTTGACTTTTTTGAAGATATTCTGAACATTTCAAACTTGCTGCTATACATTCCCTACAGAATAGATTGTTGGTTTCATGTAATATTCAATTGTTGACTTTTTTGAAGATATTCTGAACATTTCAAACTTGCTGCTATACATTCCCTACAGAATAGGTTGTTGGTTACATGTAATGTTCAATTGTTGACTTTCCAGTGTTCATAATGAGTTCTTTTTTTTACTCAGGGTGCCTCTGAGAAGGACATTGTGCACTCAGGACTGAGTTACACCATGGAGCGCTCTGCCAGGGTAAGTATTTTGCTAAGTGCTTCCTACATGCCCCTCCACAGATAAGCAAAAACATTTCTGCTTTGATATTACACTTTCTGTATTGACGGCAGAAATATGTTTGATGTGTTTTTCTACATCCTGTTATCAGTTCCAAAACATTTTTCCCAATTTACTTTCAGAATCATATAGTATTACACAATCTTGCATGAGAGTTCTATAAAAAAAAATTGTCTTGTTGCCAAGTAAAATGGCCGACCCTTAAAAGCTTTTTAGAAGATTTTTTTCTGACCGAAAAGATTAAAGAAAGAGGATTTAGTCCTCACAGATACACAAACTGGTTCCATAGCCAGGCGGTGCTAAAGTTTGGTGGCAGTTCACTACATAATAGTAGAAATCTCTTTGCATTTGACATGTGCCTTTCTGCAAACCCGTGTAGTCACTTTTCCAAGAGCACTATCAACCTCTCTCTGTGTGTTTACCTCTGGCACAAGTGTATTGTCTTTAGAAAGCACGCTAACATCTGCCATACCACCTACCACCTCAGCTTGTAGTATGACCACGCATGTTTTCATCCCCCCCTCTATAAGTAACGTTTGGGTTTTCAGCGCGGCTGTACGTACGTGGTTTGGGACTGCTGCGGAGATAGCCGTTAAGCCGTAACCAAAAATCCCTTCCACCTACCTCTCTCCTGCAGGCTCTCATGCGTACCTCCGTCACCTATGGCCTGGGCCTTGACATGCGCACGGCAGCCTACGTTAATTCCATAGAGAAAATTTTCCGCGTTATGGAGGAGGCAGGACTGACGTTTGCTTAAGGTTAGGCTAACGGGGAACACTGTGGAAACAGGACAACCCTAACCACAAAACCCTTCTCTCAACTTCGCTAACATCTAATCGTATTGGCAAAGAGTACTAAGTGTACAAGCCCAGTAATAACTGCCTTGTACTGTTTATTTTCTGCTAGTAGACATTTTTCAACCAGAACTTGTGCAAGAAATGGCCAAGAATTACAAAACGTATTGGCTTTGGCTGGCAGAATTGCTTACATGGCAACTTTGGCATGGCAAGTTTATATTAAAATTAATCCGCCCAGTGTGCAATATGCTGTAAGAGCATTGATTACATACAACATATAGGAAGTGGAGACCTATGTTTCAAGGAAAAAAGGGTTTTTGCAAGCTTGGTATCAGTTGTCATCTTCAACTCTCTGTATTCATTCTAGGTGATATCCAATTCGATGTACTATAAGTTCAAACAGAGGGAGAAAAATTGAAAATCATTGAGATTTTGTCCAGATGTAGAAGTATCTTTGTATGGCTTTAATAGAAAAATACATAGAAATGCAGCATGATAATTACAACACAAGCAAACGTATCCTAACTGTACACAGGTAAGGCTACATTGTGATCAGATAAGGCCACACCAATATAATAAATTGTTTGCAAAATTTACTTTTACTTTGTACTTTTCAATGATTTTCCAGAAACCAGTACATGTACTGCACAGTGGTAGTACGTGGATGAAGTAATTTCTTTGCTCTGTCTTTTCAATATCTTTTTGAAAAAATCCAAGAACCAACATATTAAATTGGTGTGGCCCAAACTGCATAGATCTCAGGGCAGTAAAAACTAATGTGTTTCTTAACTGTTAACCCTTGGTTTTTATCTCCATGCTCATGTGTTTATGACATCTACATATCTGTTCAACTCTTCTTTCAAGTTACAGTGATACAAGTTTTTGTTCTATTTCCTTTTATCTGTTTTATGTTACCTGCATACCCATGTAGGGCTTACCAATACATGTACAGTCTTGTCTACCAAATCATTCTAATGCACTATACTGCTGCATCTTCCCTTTTGGTGTGCGCTTGCTTCTGTGCTACCCTTTAATTGAGCTTTAAACCTTTACAATGGCATACTTCGCAAAAGAGGTTGGAGATTTGACATTTTCAAAGTTTTATCTACTAGAGTTCATAGAGCTTGGACTACTTGTAGAGTAGTTACAGTACTTCTTTTATCTGTATTGTTGAACAACTAGCATGCCATAACCTGTTTGTTTTGGTACTAAAGTAAATTGGAATTTTGAATCCTGTTAGAGCTTCAAACTTCAATACAGTCAAACCTGTACAAGTGACCAGCTCTACATGTAAATAGGGACCTCCTGGCCACTTTTTGCTGGTCCCTCACCTAATTTTTCCCATTGACACAAGCATTAAGAGTCCTGTCTACAGTGACCACCTGTCAGAGGGCCTGCAAGGGGGGTGGGGGTCCCCACAATGCTCTACGCTGAATTCGGAAACTTCTCGATTACGCTTTACGATAAATTCCAAGTGGCTACTACGTAGAATTAAAACATTGAATACGCTCTACGCAAAAATATTAGAATGGTCCGTCTACGCTCTGCGTAGAATTAAAATGGTCGATTACGCTCTACGGAAAAGGGTTTGCGGGCCCCCCTGTCAGATTTTAGCAGTCCCTTAAGTGGTCGTCTTGGACAGGTTTGACTGTATTTCTTTTTGACTCAAGACGATACAGTGTTATGAAACAAGTTTGAACTGTAATTTCCAACACAAAAAACTCCAGGCTTTGTGAAGGAATGAGCAATCCACCGCTTCTGTAACGTCACCTTATGCAGATGACATGTGACTTGGTGAGCAGTGGATCACAGGTTGCAGGAAGTCTGTGGCGCCTCCCGTCTTTGTTGAGGGATGGTTGCAATACCCTGATGTAGATGGCCTCTTTCATATCCGTGCCAATCTGCTGTTGCCAACAGTGGCATCTATACTCAACAATTAACATGATGTCACAGAAGTGGTGGATTGCTCATTCCTTGAGTTCTATAGTTGAAAATTTGGATACTGGTAAGTCCAATTTCCTGTGTTGGAAGTTGCAGTTCAAACTTGTTTCATAATGACTTCTGTCATCACAGATGAACTTCCAAGCTCACAATACGGTATATTTCATGTTTTTTACAGGCTATAATGCAGACAGCGATGACATATAACATGGGGCTGGACCTGAGAACAGCAGCCTTTGTCAACTCTATCGAGAAAGTCTTCAGTGTCTATGATGAAGCAGGGCTCACATTTTCATAAGTCTTAAGATATATGAGACAAAACTTGACACTTTGCGTTTTTTTCTTCACAATTCGAGAAGGAAGTGTTACAGTAACTGTGATAAAGGATCGCTGAGAGTATGATTACATGGTGTACAGCCATTTACTGATTAAAGGTATTTAAAGTTGATTTCTACCCAAGGTGCATGACAGTGAAGATTTTGCAATGTTTGGAATTCTATTACAGTTTAAACAGATTAAATGGTACAATGCACTTAGAATTAACTATTAACTGATTTATTAAGTATGAGGATGCTGAATCAAATGTGATCACTACAGATTTTGGACCACTTATAATAAAACTGGTTAGACCTTTTTACTTTACCAGATGTTTTTGTGTATGGTGGATATCAGTTTATACGTATACATTTTATACATTAAGCAGTATTTACAATACAAAAACCATTCTACCTTGTCTTCAATTTAAAACTGTTCTGTCTTTTTGTCAACATTAGTGATGCTTGCTGTGTTACCAAATGTTTATGTCAAATGTGGAATTTGAAGTTACAGGTAGCTTACCTTTAATATCAAACTAGAAACTTGTATGGTATATGTTATCAAGGACATTATACTTGATGTTATGTATGGAATACCAATCTTATTGATCTTAACATTGAAATTTATCTGAGATTATTGCATGAGCGATTACCATTAATGTATTGCAGTTCTGGAAATTGCCAAAATGTGTAATGTCTATATTATGTAGTATGCCAGTATTTATTACCCTAACTTGTCAAACAGTTGAGCATTGTGGCACTTTTGTCATAGCTTCATCACATATTGCACTCAAATACAAAGGATAAGTAACACCTTCAGATCACAGCAATTTACCATCTTTAAAGGATAATCTTTGCAATTTAATAAATCCTATTAATAAAGTATTGTGGGTTATCCTTGGGCTCTTTGTGAACAAGAGTTACTTTGCAGCCAGCTGCTTGCTGTTGGTATGTCACCTGCTATTCACATGCGCCACACTGCAGCTTTAGCCAGAAGTGCAGAATGGTGATGCCTTGACCATGGACTATCCAGACTCTGGCCTGGATAGTCCATGGTATAGCTTGCTAGATAGCGACAGTACGGAGCTCTGGAGGATGGCACGCGGGCTACCAAAGAGCCACGACTCAAAACCTCAGTACATACGTACAGTGTCGATTCATAAATCCGCAAAAAGCCAGCATGTTCCGGCTTGTCGTATATGTCGCTATGTTCTGCCGCAAATTCACAATACCAGCTTTGCCTTTGTATTAGGGACTGTACGATATTTACCGGGGGGGGAGGGCTGGTGCACTGGGGGGGAGGGCCATTGAAAAAATTTTTGGCCTGGGGGGAGGGCCATGGAAAAAAAATTTTGAGCCGGGGGAGGGCCATCGAAAAAAAAGTCGGCCTGGGGGGGAGGGCCACCGAAAAACTTTTGTAAAATATGGCGTCGCGTAGTACCGAATTACAAGAAATACGCCGTAAATTCCCGAATATAGTACGCACTTTTTACATTTTTCAAAATCCCAGAAGTGTCTCGGGCCGTCGCCAAAGTCGCGGTGCGTACTTTATTTGAGTTTTCCGCCGACAAATCCGTGGACAACCCAGGAATATAGCGGAACACCGGCACGGGGAGCTTGGAACATCGATCGTCAATAGCATGTTTAGATAAGAATATTGACGAGTGGAAATAAAGTTAAACTTCAATAAATGAACATATTTCCTGTGACTATCGATATATATCGTTGATATTGACACCAAGTTGCGGTAAAAAGAAGAAGTCAAGTCACCCACGGTAAGAAAATGTAGGTCTCTGGCAATGACGCCCGGCGCTTTGTCATGCCGACAGGATCGTTCCCCAGCTAGCCGGCGCCGATCTCAGTAGAACCCCGGCAAAAATATAACCTCCCGTAAGTACACATACAATTGTAGGGTTTGTGAGTGGTAATATTTGAAATGGTCCGCAAGCCGTGAACGTTCTTGATCGTCGTAACGTAACGTGATAACATAACAGTTGTGCCTCGACTGAGTGATGGTCACCATTTCAAATACACTTCCGGCTTGAGTTCAACTCAGGAATCTTCAACAAAGATTATGCCCATGTCGTTTCAAAGGTTCAGAAATTGTTAACCATGTTTCACTTCGTATCACAAATATTTTTAAATCTTGATAAATGCCACAGGAAATTACTTTGTAGCGGGCTACACCAGCCAGTACGACGTGAAATTCCAGCTAGATGTACTCCT